GGGCCAGGACCATCCGAGGGAAAACTCTATGGTTTTCCCTCTGATGGTCCTGGCCCCGCCCTCAGCGTGCCCGGCGTACCCGCGTCACTTCTGGGTGACGTGGATGCGGCGTGCGCGCGCTTCAGCCGGGAGTCCCCCACTCCGGTAAGTTTCTGACTTGGCAACCCTATTGGGAGAAGGCCTTCTCAGTCATGGCACCAAAACTCTGGAATTCTTTCCTGGGGGGGGGACTCATCTGTCCCCAGTCTGTTGCCATAGTAACCCAGGAATCCAGCAAGTGAAGACTTTTTTGTTTAATATGGCTTAGCTTCAATGATCCCTCCTTTCTGCCCAATGTTTTAATTGTTGTTCTTATGTTTTTGTATGTATTTTAGCTCTGGTTTCAATTGTTTTAATGATGTATTATTGTTGGGTTTAATGGTTTTAAAATGCGATTTTATATGTGTTTTAATTTATTAGCCTCCTTGGTGGCACTTATGAGGGTGAAAGGCAAGCTATCCATTTTGTAAAATAAATAATAAAATTAACAAATACTGTCTTGGTGCATTGTTCTCTAATTTTGTAATCCAATGTTATTGAGTTGTTGGCTGTACTGTTCTTATTGTATCGTTTTTAATTGTACAATTCTTCATGAGACTCAGTGAGAAAAGTGGGCTATAAATGAAAAAAAGCATAGCAAATTCAGGATTTTTAGGAGGTGAGAATGAACAAGGTTCATCCGCTATTCATGAAACATTAATTAAAAATGAAGATTTAACAGTCAACCAGCAGAAGAAGCACACTCATTCATTCATCTTCTCACGCATCCATGTTCTGGGAGGCCACTGCATCATATAGATGACATGGGAGAATTGTGGCACACCACCATGTCAGTTCAGAGCAGGTGGATGAACCTCTCTAATCTGATTCAGTCTTGGTTTCTCTCTTATATGGTCCCTCAGTCCTCTCTTCTTCCGGGGGTTGGCTTCTCAGCAGAATCTGGGTGAGACCAGTCTGCCTGCAAGTTTCTAACTCACTCATTGCTGACTTGTAAGAGACTTGCATCTGTCCACCTTTGCTGACTCCATCGTTTAACATCCAGGATGCTGACTTTGCCTTTCCCAGTCCTGCAGTTTGGTCTTCTTATTTTGTGGTTTGTTTCCAAATTACTCATGTTTCTTCATCTTGCAGGTGTGTTCCTTGGGCTTCTCTGGAGACATTGGTTGTTACCTCCACAACTTCCTTTCCGTCTTTTTCTGGATCCTGTTTGGTTCTTTTGAAATCCCTTTACAAAAGTTAAATGTTCAGGCTGTAATGTATTTATGGTACTTCTGAATTATATATTGATTATATATTGATCACATCGGTGAATAACTGGATACATATTATAAAAAGAGAGGTTGGCATTAAGTGCAGCTTCATATATAGCAAACAGTTCAAACATGCATTTTATTATCTTGGTATTATTATAACTTTTTAAATATTCCAAATTTTCCTAAGCATGTTGAATGGTTACCTTTTAATATGACTATACTGACTGATGTGTCACCTTCTGCCTTTGACGCCTCACCATCTTTGTTGCCCTCCTCTGGACACATTCCAGCTTGTCTATATCCTTCTTAAATTGTGGTGCCC